CGGGGCCAGCCCCGCGAGAATGCAGGGCTTACAATGGGTGACGTGGTAGTAACAGGTGTTTTCGGAGAGAAAGTCCAAAGAACAAAGGACAAGAAATTAAATTAATTTTTTATATTCCTGATGACATTATTCTCTGATATTAGTCAAAGTGGCCGCCGTATGCACTCTTCCACATCTTTCCCATGGTAATGTCTTCAATGTATCTTGTATATTTTCTCTCTCTTTCACAAAAAATTTTGATTTAAAATATGAAAAAATCCAAATCACATACATATTTACTCACACCAGATAAAAAAAAAATAATGAATTATGACGCGGGATTTGAATTGTCTTTTTTAAATTTTTTTATATTTAATTTTCTCTTTGTTAAGATGAGATTCAATATTTAATTCGATTTATACTCATGTGTTGATATGCTATAAATACAAATATAAGACCTACATATATATTATAATTATTAATAATTATTTGTCCTATAAATAATTATTTTATCCTTAATTAATTTAATTCACACTCATGTTAAGGGATACAATTATCTTTTAAATTTTTAACTCCTTACACATCTTCCCAAACTCTCACTCCCCTAAGTTTAACGAAACTTATGATCATGAAATTTAATTTTCAGACCAGTTATGGGTCGAGTTTTAAAATACGAGACTGTATTTTTCAAACAAATATGAAATTTGAGAGAATTTTGAATTATTTTCTCCAAACCCAACTTGCTGAACCCCCCAATACCCCTTTCCAAAGCAGCCCTAGGTGTGTCTCTACTTCATATCATCTCAAAATTGTATTATATCAAAATTAACCCAACTCGTACATAATAATATATTTAATAGGATCTGATTCGCAATCAAGGATACAATACAACCCATTTATTAACAAATTCCACTATACAAACACATATAATATTCGTAATAAGTGAATTGTATTGGGTTAACACTTAGAAGTGCATGTCAAATAATAAATGATATTTATGTTGAAAAATGCTATACAATTCAAAAATTATAACCTAAATACATATTATTTCGTCGGATGAGTGTTAAATTAGTGGGTCTCACTAAAAAAATTGATGGGACTCACTCATTCAAGAAATAATATATATTTTAATTACAACTTTATTTTTGGATTTTATTTAAATTCTATAGCATTACTCATTTATGTTTATCACTAATACTATAACTAAATGATCTCTAGTTTGGGGTGTGGGATCGGGGGTAAGAGCTCCAATGAGTTTTAAGAAATTTGAAGTAATTATAAAGGTATTGTAGATAAGCTTTATCAACAAATTGGATTTAACTTGAATTTTGATAGATATGAATCTGAATTCAATCTCAAAAGTTTGATATGATGATCCAATAAATTTTATTTTTGTGATCTATATTCAAATCCGTTAATAATCTAAAATTCGGTCCAAAAATTTAAATAACTTAATTAACTAAATTTTAACAAATTATGTCTACATTTTAATTTAATTTCTTTAAAAAATTACTTAATTTTTTTAACATTTATATAAAAATATATAAATAATTTAAATGAAGAATTGAATACAATATAAATATATTTAAATTTAAAAATATATAATATATAATATTAAATTCAAATTCGAATTGTGATAAAAAAAATATTAATTCATATACATCTCCATCGACAGGCATACTGTAGATAACTACTCACGGATAAACTCCAAACCCAAAAATTGTCTATTTCTGACACACAACATCCTACAAGGTTTAATCGAATCCCCTCTCTCTCTCTCTCTCTCTCTCTCTCTCACACACAGACATCCTCTCGGTCTCTCCTATTATATGCATCTCCATCGACAGCCCTAACTGTAGATAACAACTCACAGATAAACTCCAAACCCAAAAATTGTCTATTTCTGAACACAGAACATCCTACAAGGTTTAATCGAATCTGCTCTCTCTCTCTCGCTCACATCCTCTTGGTCTCTCCTATCATCAACTCTCCCCACCTTACCCAAAAAAAAACTCTTCCCACCTTTTCTTGAGCACCAAGTGTTACTACGTCTACCGAAAACCAGATAGTTACAAGCGACTTCATCAACGGATATACATAAAACTCTCTCTCTCTCTCTCTCTCTCTCTCTCTTCTCTCTGTGTGTGTGTATGTTGGAAGTGAATGAAACGAAGATGGTTAGAAGTTGTTGAAGAAGACGAAGAAGAAAGTAGAAGAGGACTTTTCTTCGTGTGTTAAGGCTTGTTGTCTTTTTCAACTAATTGTAGCAGATTTTTTTTAAAGAAAAAGCACTCTTTAAGGCTTTTCTTCCTTATCTTTCTCGAGAAGTTGTTTCTATTCAAAGTTTATTAATCAATGAAGTTGACTGATTGAGTTGTGTTTGTTTTTTTGTTTTTCTTTTTCTTTCTGAATGTTCAATGGATCAGGTGGTGGAAAGTGATTACCCCATTTGATGCACTATACACGCAACTGCTCCAATTCTCTTCCTCCACTCATTTTTCTTTCTATTTCTCACTCGGAAGAGAAAATCATAGAAAGTGACGGAAAATCCCAAGTTGGTGAGCATCGGTTTTCTGGTTCTTGTCAATATGTAATTCGATTTGATTTTGTCTTCTTTTTAGACTTTAGATTTTTACTTTTCTTCTGCTTCATTGGGTCCCGGGTAGTTTCAGATTTTTGTCCAACTGAACAACTGCCTCTCTTTCTCTCTCTCTCTCTCTAAACTTTTCAGGAGGATATGGATTCTCGGAACCTGATAGAAAAAGAGGGTACCCAGAAAATCTCTATTTCTGATCAAATAAACAGCTTACAGTACACAAGCACGAAATCTGATAGCTTTGTAGTGGATATGGAACGTTTCTCTCACCTCACCAATAAAGCCATCGCACCAAACTCAAGAATCACTGTAAGTTTATTTTTCTTCTTCCATTTTTTTTTTTATTTTCTTTTTGGGAAATTCGTTCTGCTTTCTTTAGTTGAGGAGCATATGCTCTGTTTTCCATTGAATTGCTAAATAGTATTGATGTTCTAGTCAAGAAAATAGTTGTTTACTCATTGAAAACATATTCTAAAAGATGAGTTGAGGAGCCTATACTGAATTTTCAGTTGGTNGCTCAAGAATCACTGTAAGTTTATTTTTCTTCTTTCAATTTTTTTTTTATTTTCTTTTTGGGAAATTCGTTCTGCTTTCTTTAGTTGAGGAGCATATGCTCTGTTTTCCATTGAATTGCTAAATAGTATTGATGTTCTAGTCAAGAAAATAGTTGTTTACTCATTGAAAACATATTCTAAAAGATGAGTTGAGGAGCCTATACTGAATTTTCAGTTGGTGTTTCTGAATACGACGACATGAAGTTCTCGTCAGTATTCACTAAACCAACATTTACTTTGAAGTCAGTGATTTCGATGGATTTTCTGAGTATATTATATACATGTGTATCGTTTGTTGAGATAGCACTTTACTACCATTCTTTTAACTTTGCGTCAATAACAATCGAAAATCATTTTAAGGCATTGTGATCTCCTATTGGTAATAATGATCATTATCTGAATTAAACAAGTTTCTCAGAATCTATTTTGAATCTATAAGAATAATATTTTGCTTTTTTTTTTTTGCCTAATGTGTTTGTATGTGGATAAAAAGTTGCAGAGAAGCCTTTCAAGAAAAATTTCACAGCAAGGCGATGAGAGGAAGATTAATTCAGGTGCTGGCAATGAAAAAGACACCAGTGTTGTTGCTAGCTCTTCAACAAAAGGTAAACTCTTACTTGACACGAAGTAATCTATAATATCCATGGCTTGAGGATGGTCATTTAAAGACAGAGGAATTAACAATAGCAATAGACTTTTTGTCATTGTGTTTACAAGCAGTGGCGTCCAAAACAGAGAGAATCTGATTCTTGATTGCATTAAAATGTTTTGTCTATTTTTAATGAGTTTAATGAGTTTATGGTATGTACTTATCTGTGTATCTTTCATTTGCTATATGTTTATCGGTTACATAACACAACCCTCTTATTTTGACCGCGTCTTGAAACTAATTGTGTTAAAAGATAGGTCTTTAAAACAATGCGTTCCGAGTTTTTGTCATGTTTCTATATGTAACTATTCAAAAACCAAACATTAGCACCAACCTACCTTGGTTAATACCTATACACCCTTGAAAGACTTTAGATACATAATTATCACCAGATAACTACTTGAGATGCTAAATATCACCACGTTAGGTTGTTGGCACTGTTGGGATGTGAGCTTGATGTTGATGTTAGGTCAATAATAGCAATTAATTATAACTAACTTTTATTGATCATGCCGAAATAAGTGCCACGCACGAGCGAAAATGATACAATAGTTTTCAGTAACAGCCTGTACCAGGCCCACTGGGTGGGGATGACCCTACTTTTTGTTACATCTCTTGGATGCATAGTGAGTAGTGAGTTGATTAATAGTTTCTTCTGTGGTTTCCTATGAAAGTGATATCCATTTAGGAAATAGCTGAAGGCATAATTTAATTTCTTAAGTTTTNCTTGGATGCATAGTGAGTAGTGAGTTGATTAATAGTTTCTTCTGTGGTTTCCTGTGAAAGTGATATCCATTTAGGAAATAGCTGAAGGCATAATTTAATTTCTTAAGTTTTGTCTGTTTAAGTGCAGATTAGATGCACCCTTTGTTAATCGACCCCATCCATCAATTTAACGAAACAAAACAACAAAATAATTTGCTGCCTTTTTCTGGTGATCTGTTTAGATGTGCTGATATTTGCACTTTTGGTACTTTACCAGTTAAATATTTGATCAACTATATTAGGTAGTAAGACTTGTCAAACATTGATGAATAAGCACAGCTATTTTTGGTTGGAGATGGCAGAGGCTTCTTTACCTCTCTCATACCTTGTTGTAGACAAGAGCGTTATACATTGGGCACGGTCTTTTACCTTTTTATGGAAGTTGGTTGAAGGAAATTTAGAAATGAGAACCAGAAGTATTTCTTATTGCACTTAGTGTGCAAATTTAGGGCTCTAAATGACTCGAGATCTGGGATTATCCACAGTGGTAAACTGGTAATGATGCAACCACACTGCAGGCAAGATCTAGGATCATATCTCATCGCAGCATAGTGACACCCGTTTCCCTCGTCCCCTTGGGTATAGTAAAGTAGATAAACAATTTGTTAAGGGAAAAAAAATGGACCTAGGCTAGTAGAAAACACAAACTTATGGAACTTAGTTGTTTGAGACACAAGTACAGACTATAGACTGTCATTCCTTTTGTTTCTACAATAGTTGGGTGCATATGCATTTGGACTATGGAAAACATTATTGATGGGAGCTAACACATGCTATATGGTATTATTAAAACTGCAGCTGCTTTAGTTGCGGTTGGGATGCCTGAAAAACCCATGGTTGTGACAGTGGGGGCCACCGATCATCCCATCAACCCCCAAGTCCATCATCAAATCACCATCATGACTGGCAACATAAGCACCCCTACTGCCGAAAGCAAAAGTGGTGGCCGGAGATTCAGCTTCAGGCGCTCCTCTCCCTCTTGGGCCATTGACCCCAGGAGGATCCTTTTGTACTTTGCCACCTTGTAAGTTTACTACTGTTTGGTTTCCAGCTTGGCATTCTAATATACTTAGACGTGATGATATTGCTGATATATTAGAGTTGGATGTAAAAAAACACAAATTTACTCGAGCTGGATTAAAAAAAAAATACAGAGCCGCACCAAATCCATCGCGAAACAAACCAAATACGAAGACAGGAGGCTGCCCTAGCATTATTATAGTGTGTTGGGGCTACAAACAATTGTCATGAAGTTGGATTCGCGTCAGCTTGGGCTGGATGTCCAGTACTATCAGGCTCCATACAAACTTACAATAAAATTAAGTTGTCCCAACAAAAGCACCTTAGAGTTGTCATAGTTATCATAAAATATCGCTTCTGTGATCTTACACTATTTGATATGTGAGCCCGAGGGATAATGGTTCAACACCTCCCATAGATATGTTATGGCATATCTAACATTTGGAACAATTATAAACAGTAAAGATGTCTAATTAGTGCTTCTGATTTCCTTCTCATTTGTTACAGTTCAAGCATGGGAACCATATTACTAATCTACTTCACTCTCTCCATGGGCAAGCTGAGTGGGGATGACAATGCTCTCAATTGGTAACACCACCACATAGCTGTGGTGGTACAAGCTAGGTAAGTTGGTCCATTACTGGCTGGTTCTGGACTGAATAGGCATAACAGAGTAATCAATTCCCCCGTTCTTGATAGATTTCCTCTCTCTCTCTCTCTCTCTCTCTCTCTCTCTCTCTCTCTCTCTCTCTCTCTCTCTCAAACTATCTATCAATTGATTTGAAAATAGTGGGGAGAGAGAGAAACATGATATGAAGGAATTTAGCTTGATAATGGTGAAAGTTCTTCATTTCGAGCTAATAATGACTTCTTCCAGTAAAGCCCATGAGACAGGATTGCTGCAGAAAAGAAGGAAAAAGAGCTTGAAACTTGAAGACCACAGAAAAAGCCAACAGAAGCTCCATTAGCAAGGGCTTCAAATTCAGCAGTTCTACTTTTTCTTCGGGGCCGCCTTATCTTACACAGCCTTGTAGATGAAGATAAGGCAATAAAGCCTTAGAAAAAATAGGGGAATCTTCACTTTTATCTCAATGAAAGAGATCAAAACACATTCTATGTATAGCTTTTGAATTAGTTTTGTGTAAAAGCTTAATTGAGGACCAGAAAAGTTACCTTTGCTCTATTCCATCTCCCCTTTCCTTCCCCAACATCTTCAAACCTCTTTTGCTATTTTGTGGAGTCTGATATCAGCTTCTTTTCCTTTTCTTGTATGTTGCTTTCATATGAGTAGGAACAGAGCGCCACAAATAGTCCTAGAAAGTATACAAGCATGTTCATGCATGAAGCTTTTCCTGCTCATGAAATATTCCTTGGTTTTAAAGTGGAAGTCCATTTTGACTTGGTTAAAGAATGGATCCCCAAAATAGATTAGTTCGATCAGCAACACTTGCCTCCACAGCACCAAGATCAATACCTAGTTTAATTTTACCTACAACCTGCGTCTCTGCCGCATTGGAATCAAGAGCGGGCTTGACATAGTTGTTGTACGAGTTTTTCAGGTCTATTTAACTAACTAAAGCTAGCCGGGATCAACAACTTTCTTTGTCATGTGAAAAACCTTATGGGCTACCATGGAGAACAGTATATCTCAACCCATGCAGGACGATTCAGTGGCCAAACAAAAAGTGAGATCCGAACATACTAGTCNACAGGACGACTCAGTGGCCAAACAAAAAGTGAGATCCGAACATACTAGTCTAGAGTTGGGGTCTTATAGGATGCATAATACCCGGATTTGACCAATGGCATTGTTTGGTACTGATGCATGCACTTGAGATTTGCGTTTTAATCACGACTCCAATGGACGGGTGGTTTACACAATTGGATGTGACCAAAAAAAGTTGATATCCCTAAAATCAGGGTGGTGAAAGTTTCCTCACCTCAACCACACAGCTCAAAATATCTCAGGTTGCATCCTAAGCGAAGTTCGGGTCCATGTAAAATGAATATTTCACTGGATCCAATAAATTCTTAGAGGTGGTTCAGTGGTTGAGTTTGACATATAATAATTTAGAGATCTCAGATTTAATATTTCTTATATCCCCCAAGGACTCGTCACCCTTGTTCTTCTGAGACATGTCCTAAACCCGCTTAGGCTACGGTGGTCAGTGTTTGAATGAGTAGTTGGTACAAACCTAAACACTCTGTAACCGAAAAAACCTAAACCCAATAGCTATACACACTATCATCTCCAGAGATATTTGCTAAGCTTTATGTTCTGCATTCACAATTAATCCTCCATTTCCCAAAGCCTCACCTAAGGATTCTCAAACACAACAGAGAAGAAATACCTAGGCAATTCCAAAGAATCTACTAATGCATATGAGAACTTGGTCGATCTTGGTAATTATACTACTACACATTTTTGCTTTGAAATTGGTGAGGATTAGATCTTGTTGCACAGTTGAAATTGGTTCAACCTATAGAGAGTGGAATATAGCTCAGTTCATTTGTGTCCGATTTGTATACTATGTATAAGTTGTATTTAACATATTCGAATTAAGTCTAGTTAGGTCTGCATCAATCTATTTATTTAATGTTTGTAATGAGTTAACTCATTTATCACCTAAATATGTTAAGACTAATCTAAACTTACTAATTCTATATCGATTTTGTTTAGAATTAACAATTTTTGACAAAAAAATGATAGGCCTAAAAAAATTGCCCAGAGATTCTTCTAAGAATCTTTGCTAATTCGTTATTTCTCTCATTATTTTATTTGAACGAGTGCTCTTATTTTTGAGATCGAATTCAGATTAAAATTCAAATCATTAAGATTCATAAGATAAATGGAAAAGAAAGAGAAATGTTGGACTAACCAATAAATCAATGGATCAATGTGGTGGAATTATTGGATTAAAAAGGCCATTTTATGGCCCATAAGGCCATACTGCCAGTTGGCCCATTGGGAGACTGTGCGCCAAAGTTTCTCCGAGGCTCAAGGAGGTCAGTACCTCCCTAAGAACTTAATAGGATAAAAATACATTTTTTAAAATAATTGGAATAGAAGTACATCTGCTATAAAAAAGTCATAAAAGTCATTTTACCTCTACCATAAATAATGCATACTTAATTGACAGTTTTTATATTTTCAAAATCTAAATAATAGAATGTGAGACTTTCAATATTTTCTTTGGATATTTGTGTATCATTTGAATTTTGAAATTATATATATATAATATTAAATAGTAACACGCTCAACAAAAAAATAGTAATATCAAATAATAACACGTTTAACAAAAAAATAATAATATCAAAGATTTTTTATGTTACTATTTGATATATATATATATATATAATATTTTAAAAAGAATTTTAAAATATTTTAAAATATGTACTTATAAACAACTATTTAATGAAAAAGAGAATTTAAAGGAGGATAAGTTTAAAAGTTATATTTAAAGTCAAACAAGTTCTGAAAAAGATACTCACGTCTCGTTATCTCAAGTTTCTCCTGGCGAGCTAGTTCGAGCTTAGTCCATTGATTGATCAAAGCATGAATACACAAGCTTAGGGCCTAACATCTAGGAAGGCTTGGCTAGTTGACCGCGTCAGGCTTGGAGCTTGAAAATTAGGGTTGTCCCATCAAGGCCTTGCCTGTTACCCACACCCCCCCCCCCAACAAGTATTATAAAATTTCATTTTAAAATGATAAAAACAGTCAAAACGTAATGAAATTAAAATTATAATATTTTGTGATATTTAATAATATTTTGAGATATTTTATAATATTTTTATTTATTTATAAAATTATTTCAAAATATTTTAAAGTGTGTCAAGATATTTTAATAGTAGTTATTGCTTGTGCCTAAAGGCACAGAGTAATAAAAAATGATAAATAATAAATATATTTGTATTCATATCCAAAATTAAATCACAAACATAAATAAGAGATAAAAGAATTTAAACATCAGTTTGTAGTGGGGGTGAGAGGTGGTGGGCGACAATGGTGGTGGTAGGAGACGGTGATGGGTGGGTTAAGTGGCAATGACAGTGGTGGTGGTGGGACGACGACGGTGGTGACAGGCAGTAGTGTTGGTGGTTATGGGCAACGATAAGTGTTTCTAAACAACTGTGTGATGGGTGGCGGCGAATGACATCATTGGTAAGTGTGGTGGGGGTAGGTAACAGTGGGTGACTACAATGGTGGATGATGACAGATGGTGGTGGTTAGTGGTGATAAGTGTGGTAGAATAGGTGGCAGTGGTTGGTGCCGATAGTGGGCGACGATGGATAGTGGTGCGTGCCGATAGTGGGCGACAGTGATAGTGGGATGATGGTGGTAGTAGTAATAAATATAAGAATAAGATGACGACCGTAGTGGGTGATGACCATGGACGACGATAGTAGCAATTAGTGCGATACTGGTGGTGGTGGCGGTAGGGCAGTGAGGGTGGGGGGTGGAGGTGGGGTAGTGGCGATGGTGTGGGTGGTAGTGGTGGGTTGGCGATAGTGGTGATAGTTGTGATGCTCATGAGGCGGTGGTGGGGCAGTAGGGGTGGAAGGGTGATAGGGGTGATGGTGGGACAATAGCGATGGTGGTTAGGTGCGACAGCGG